TATACTTTATTTATTTATGCACTAACTCCGGCTGGTTATACACTGAGGACAGTGTATGATTTAAGTCTGGGGGAGTGGAGATTACTGATGCTACTTTACCTTTTTGATCTCATTAAATGTTTTCAAAAATTGGTTTTATTGAGTCAAGAAAGGGACAAAAGATTTCAAAATTTTTGCTTTTTATCTAACCATTCTTAGAATTGTTGATTGCAGAAAGTACTATAGATGCTAAAGTGGATCACCAGTCACCTATGACAACACTTTTCATGATTGTTTGGAAGAACCAAAGGTGATTTCCAACCTAACCTTACATCTATTGCTTGTCTTGGGGCTTGGTATACAAGGGATCGGAATCCTCCTACAAGTCTAGAAGGTAAATGTCTTGATAATTTTGGTTTCTTTCTCTCCTCCTTTGGAATCCCTAAAGAGAAAAATAAAAGATTGAGATGATTTCCTGAGAGGCAGAGAGAGAGGTACATTACCCATGACCCCACTATTCGCCTACACTTTGTCAGAAAAGACTACAAAAAGTAGTAGAAAAATCAATAAGATGAACATCTGATGTTCATTGGGATTGATGTAAAAGAAAAGAAAGTTTGGATTCAGAGAAGGGGGGATATATGGAGAAAAGAAACCAGAATGAGAATGCCTGAAACTTGTTTGAGTTGAATCCAAGTGTTCCTTGATCGATACTCCCAAGGTAAAGCCTTCACTTTTATTTTATGCATAAATGAAATCAGTAGAGGGGATAGACAGACAGGATTGCTAAGTTGATTGCCTAGATGAATTTGGTTGCTAAGCTAGGATATGGTATAATGTACTTTTGTAGTGAGCAATATGAGATGTGGCTTGCAACAAAGTAGAGGTTATGATTTTAAGTTAAGATTTTATTGAGTCCCTGCTGTTTTTAAACTTCTTCCAAAGACTAACTATTGTGTTTGCTTGAGGACAAGCAAAAGGTTAAGTCTGGGGGAGTTGATATACCATGGTTTTGATCCACTTTTGACCATGGTATTTATATGATTTTATAATATATTTATATGTTTTGAAGTCTATTAGGTATGTTTTCAGGTTCAGAAGCATTTTGGAGTAAAGTGATGATTTAGGTGCCCTTATGGACTTAAAGGAGAGATTTCTCGAGATGATAAAGATCAGACAATAAGGTCGATATCTAGAGATACATATCGATAGATACACATCTTGTGTGATCGATCGTCGACGCTTACGAAGAGGATGACGAATTGAGATACTTCATCGATCGATGTACACCATGTACCATCGATCGATATGAAGCATGAAGAGCAAGTTTGACTTGGCCTACTTGAAGCCCAAGTTCTTTCTATATTACAAGATTGCCACTGGCGAGTTTTTAACCTAATGGAACTCATATTTATAGTTTTGCCTATGTGTTTTGGCTAGACATGCTTTTTATGTTTTTTAGTGCTTTTTGTACTTCAAAAGCTTTACATGCTTTTTATGTTCTTTGATTTATAAAAGTATTCTTTTCATCTTATTCTCATTTTCATAAAGGTTATAGAATTCTATATTTAAAAGAAACACACAAAGAGATTTGTTGTTCCAAGAACCAAGAGCTCAATCTACTAATCTAATGAATTTCTATTATTACCTTGTTGCTATGAATCACTTAGCCATGTCTGAGTAGATTCACTTGTTAGATTTAGGGTTCAAATAGTTATGAGGGATTAGCCCCAACTATGGATTGTTGAGTTGTGATATTCATTATCCTGATGAACCCAAATGCTTACTCTAGAATAGCTAACTAGAGTATGATCATGGAATGATTTAACTTGTTAATCATCATCCTGAAATCATCTGGTATAAGCTGAGATTCTAGGGACGATGCGAGAGCCGGTCTATGATCTTGATGAACACGTTCGATTCGATCTGAAGCTATATCGATCGATACTCCTATAGAGTAATCGATCGACGGCTACATATATTGGCCGATATGGCGATCATACCATCGGTCGATATAGCCAGCAGTCAGATCAATGGACGAGTCTAATAGCGATAACTATAGATTTATCTAAGAATTGAAGTTCTTTAATATCTTGCAAGCAACTTATAAAGACATATATACCATTATAATCCTGATTTTCTGAATAGTAACCTTGAATCTAGCTACTTTCTTTTATTGTTTAAAACCTAAACCAAACTCTCTTGAGCAACTTACCATTGCTCACAACTGTAATTTACTTTTAAACCATAATCAACCTAGCATAGTCACTTAGGATTATATCTTTTGTGTTCCTTAGTTCCTTGTGGATTCGATCCCTAAGTACTACAACTGAACCTCTTATTTGAGAGAGTAATTCACTCCTTACGGTAATTTGAGAGATATGAAATTTAATATCACTCAAATTACCCTAAGGAGTGAATTACTCTCATCAAAAGAGGTTCAATTGTAGTACTTAGGGATCGAATCCATAAGGAGCTAAGGAACCTAATAGATCTAATAGTTATATGATTAAGCTAGGCTAATAAGTATTAATGCAGTAAATAAATATAATAAACTTGAAAGCAATAAACAAGATGAACAAGGTAATTGTTCAGCTTAGCAAGGATTTGTTTGATGGAAGGATGATTGCTAGATCTAGGGTTTCTATTCAGGTAATCAGGATTATAATTCTATAGATGCCTAACAAGTTGCATGCATGATATTAAAGAGCTTCTACTCTTAGATAAGTCTATTAGTTGTCGCTATCTAGACTCGTCCATGAATCTGATGCTGACAGTATCGATCGATATTGTTGTCGCTACATCGATCGATATATACTTGTCTTCGGTCGATTACTCTATACGAGTATCGATCGATATAGCTTCAGATTGAGTTGAAAAGTTCCCACCAAGATCATAGACCGGCTCTCGCGTATCCCTAGAGGATCTTAGCTTATACAAGATGATATCAGAATGATGACTAATGAATTAATTCCATCATGTTCATGGTTCTAGTTCATGACTCTAGAATCAAGCATTAGGGTTCATCATGATAATGAATATCACAACTTAGCAATCTATAGTTGGGGCTAGTCCCACAACCTATCTGAACCCTAAATCCAACAGGTGAATCATTGAGACATGAAGATTGTCACAGAAATCATAGATGAATAGATGAAGAACATAAATAATATAAAACCAAAACCAATGGAGGTCCAGGAGGACTCTGATAGGAGTTCCTCCCTTCTCTCCGAACAAAAGAATAATGAATCAAAGAAAGCGTAGCCGTCAACAATAGCTTGCAAATAACATAAATAGGGTTTCAAGTCGTCAAGGGTATTTTGGTAACTTTGTGGTATCTTTTGGGCTTCACTCGGTCATGAAATATAGTCATCCCACGTTCTGGCATCCATATCGATCGATATGAAGGCTTTCCCAATGATCGATATACATTCCTCTTCTCGACAGCCTTCTCTCGTGAGGCAGACTGACAACTCTTCAGTAAAACGGGCATAACTTCTGATCTAACCGTTGGATTGACCTCAAACCAGTTGCATTGGAAAGCTAACGCAAAGCTATATCTTGTGTCAAAAGATGGGCTCAATCTCACAATAGGAAGATCTCCATCCATATCTAAAAATCTGACGCATCTGCGCAGCTCTACACTCAAAAGGCTCCATATCGTACCAGATCCTGTAAATACTCTTAATAGACTCTATATTGTAGTAAATATATATGAAAACACCTATAGACCATGACTAAAAATGGGTAAAATCCATGGTCGATCATACTTGGATTTATTCTAAGTCTAGAACCGAGTATTATACATATTATCTGATAGTGGTTTATGAATCTCGACACAGGAACCAAACCATGATTTTCTAGATCATTGATAGGATATTGGTTCATGTATTGATATTTGTTGATATTTGGTTTGAGGAACTGAGGCATACCGTGATCAAGCCAAGGAGTCGTGAAGACTCAATCAGCAAGAAGTTGTGTGGTGTGTGGGTAGATCGTCTTATGAATGAACTTATGATAGCCTATAGTGCAAACTGATGTTATGTAATGAAGCAAATGTTTTATTACTAATACAATATCGATTTACCCTTTGTTTATACAACTTGTTGTGTTATTTATGTACCACATTTACAATGGAAATGACTTAGTAAAATAAATAAGACTAGAAATGAATCCAATAAAAAATTATGGTCTAAGTGTGAGGCCGCGGGTCCAAGTAGGTCTAGAACCTCAGTAGCCGGTCTTACAAGATGTGTTTTTTTAGTGGACCTTGACGAGGGAGCGAAACTCATTTCCCACAATAAATTACCTCAGTTCATTGTGATTCATAAAGTTAATCACAGTGAATTTAAAAAGGAACTGGTTTGTAGAGTGACCTAACTCAACACTTTGTGTCCTTGATTCCGGTTAAACCAAGGATTTGGTTTGGTTTGATATTTAACCACTTCGTCTCATTCTCTGGGAAGAGGAAACATCATTCCTTTGAAATATGGAACATCACCTAGATTCACATTATTAGGTTTTATACATCAAATGTAGTTGATATGCTGAAATTAACTTAATCTACTCTCTCAAATATGATGTTCAGTGTAGTACTTAAAGATCTAATCCACATGATTGGGGATCGCACAAGTTGTAGTCGCCTTGTCGATGAAAATAAGCGGACTGATACAAATATGAAAGAGGCAAAGGAGGAGCAGGCCAAAACATCAATAATACCATCTCAATTAATAAAAAAACATATGGCCTAATATAAAGGGAATTTTTTCCTAAAAGGAACAAAAAAAAATCACATATTGTCCCTTTTGGGATCATTTTATGGGTTTTTTTGTCCACTTAGAATTAATATTAATGTTAATCTATTATAACCTTCTTATCATACTTTAAAAATTAATTGAAACATATTTAAATATTAAATAATTTTTATTCTTAAAAAAAACTCTACACTCTTCATCTCTCCGTGCTTCTCCACCAAACCACTCACCAGACCTTCAAATTAACAGTCTCATCAGATCACCAATATGAGACCCATTAGGAGACAGTCATTTGTCTCTGCATCAGCCACCGTTTCCACTCCTAAACACGAAACAGATCCGAAGAAACGTGTCGTAATCACCGGTATGGGTCTCATCTCGGTCTTTGGTGAGATTGATGGTTAATACGTGAAACTGCATTCCAGTGAGAGTGGAATCAGCTTTATTGATTGATGCGTCTAAGTTTCCCATTCGATTCGGTGACCAGATCTATGGGTTTATCTCTAAAGGTTACATCAATGAGAAGAATGAACGTAGGCTTGATGATTACTTGAAGTATTGCATTGTAACTGGAAAGAATGCTCTTAAAAGTGAAAATCTTGGTCTTGGTAAGCTTAACATGGTTCTATATTAGATTGAAAAAATTCAAAACCTTAATTTATTTTAAGATTATTCAGTTAAAAGTAGATTCAGAAAAGGTTTAATCTTTAAACATGAACTTGATTTATCTCTGATGGGTTTAACACTTACTTGTCTAGGGTGTTATTGTAGATTAATAAGCTTAAAGCTAGATTGATAACATCGGTAACATTGATGAGCTGGTCACGACAAGTATATCACACATGTATTGCTTTCGTTTGAAGAGATCTGAAAATACAAAAACAAAAAGTTGAAGAGATCTGAAAATACGAAAACAAAAGGAGAACGGAAAATGGCCATTCCCAGGGTCGAACTTAAGATTTGGACATCAAGTTAAATATTTTTTCATATATTTTTACCTAGAAAAAAAATTAATATGTTTTTTTATAGACAAAAAAGGTAGTAAATGTCCAACTATGCCAAAAGTTTATTTTGTTCTAAGGGAACAATAGTAACATTATTTTGTCTCTTATTGGGAATTTTTCCTACTATAAATGGTTTAATAACATAAAACTAATAAATTTTACATTCAAAACTGAAAAATCATCTCGTTCGGAACAAATTTTTTATCTTTAAAACGTCAAATATTAAAGCAGAGGGAGTTAAAAAGTAACTTTCTAACAAACTTCCAAGATTTGGTAAAATTAGTTTACTATAAAAATCATCTTGATCAACCACATTCTGACAAAATCATCTCGGTTCACACTATAGAATAAACATAAAAAACGTTACAGTTGAAAAGTAGCATATACACATGATGGCATTTCAAGTGTCAAAGAAAATTTATTGTACCTTTATTATTTTAAATTTATTTACAATTTTTTTTCCAGCACAATGTTCTGATTCCATTGTGATTAAAGCGTGTATGAAAAACTGTATCACAAATCAGTGCACGAAAGCATTGGAAAAAACTAATCCAGTGATATGTTACAGCTCTTGTAAGACAATGTGCGGTCCAAAGAAGTATGGGAAACTCGTCACTGCCAGGGTTATGGCTTATCAATATCCTATTACGAGGTTCTGTAATAATTTTGATTGGATATTCCATATTTGCTAAGTTTGAGAGTGAAAATTATTAAATTTTCCAATGCATATGTTTTATACCTATATATTTTTATGATCGATTAATATTTACTGTACTTCTTTTTCCATAAAAAAATATCTAACATGGTGTAATTCCTTTTGTGAGTACCCACTAAAAAACCTATACGTTAAAACTGTTATGATAAAAGTATTGTCTTAAACACTGGTTATTGTTGTATAAAAACTCAAGTCGATAAGTTATCTTAGAAACTCTACTTTTCACACAAATTTATTTAAGATGCCAAAAAAAGAATTACTTTTAATACTATAGGAGAAGAATAATTTGTAATTTGCATTCCTACTTTATAATAAATAAACAAGTTTTTTATAAAACTGTATAATAGAAATTTTAAGAAGTTAATGGAAACTATATTACTATTTGAAACAAATATCAAAAAATAGAGAAATAATTTTGTGATCCCCTCAATATTTAGTAAATACAATGAACGATTGAAGAATACAAAGGCAGACAGTTTTGCACTTAGTGTTAGGAACCAAACGTCCTCATCGGTTATATAGACACAAAGCTATCAGTTTGGTTTGCAGTGTCTTAATCGATTTTATATATGTTGATGACAAAAAAATTTTGAACCACTTAATATTTATTAAATAAAATGAATAATTAAATTATGTGCTGCCATTCAAATATATTTTGCAAAAAAAAAATCCTTTACTGAAACTTCATATAAAAAATATTTTAGTTATTTTATAGGCAAAACCAATAAGCTATTCTAAATAATATTATACATATTCAAAAAGATAATCACATTTAAACCATCAAAATATTTTTGTTAAATCATTGAAGCCTCAAAGTAGCATACACCTTTACATAACCAGAGCACTTAACACAACACTTTCAAGACATTATTTAATAATTGGGTTAACAATAGAACCTCAAGTCAATTTCAGATGTAGAGTTCGTGAGAGAGATAAACCAAAGATAGTTCTTGGTAAAGATCCCGACAAAGGGATGTATATAAAGAAAAGGGACCAGAGAATGAACCATTTTTGAAGATCTGCAAATAGATGGAAATCAACAAGATATGGACACATAGCAGGTGTTTTATGCAAAGAGTGGCTGCAAGAATGAAACAATGGTTGTTGGGTGACCAAATATCCATTATGGCTGAGCTTGTAAGCATCCATATATGCACTTTTCTTGTTTAATGTTAGCTTGTTTGATCTTTTAATATATTCAGTTTTGTTTATTATTCTGTTTCAGATTCGTCTAAAATTGTTGAATTTGAATTTCGCGTGTTCAAGATATAAGTAAGAACTCGATGGTGGATAATTTGAAATATGTTTATTAGAAAGATATATGAAGATACACAATGGAATGTATCTGAAATCGTCTAAAATGATAATTATTTCATAAAAGATTGATATATCATGGTTTTTATGGGTTTTGACCATGATATAAATCATATTAGAGTTTATATTTTATGATTGAAGTCACTTTATAGTCTTTGCAGTTTATGTACCTTTTGGACGAATTGAAGATTTTGGAGCATTTTGGATCTTAAAGAGGATCAGAGCCTAAGAGAGCAAGTCGGAGTCGATCTACACCTTTTGTGGCCAACCAAACCAACATGTTTTAATGAAATTTCAATAATTGCAACTTTGGCCAAAATTCTTCAATATCTTTAAAAAGAGTCTCAAACGAGAGAGTCTGAAGGATCCAAAAGTGGCCTCCAACATTAATTTAATTGAATCTCTTTTTTTGGGGCTTAGTATACGTGTATCAGATTCCTCGTTCAGGTATGAAAAAAAAAATATGTGTATGGTGTATCAGATTATCGATACCCCCTTGATGAGACTGCACCTTAAGCTCTTAAATGAGGTTAGTGATGGTGGTCCTGGATGTCTCTTATTAGTTGTGGGCTGGAAATGGTTATGTTCCTAAGTTGAGGTCGAGTTGATGGAAGTAAATTCTAAGGTTGTTACTAGTTGATGTGGCTTATAACACGTAATGGTGAAATGATGGTTCTAAAGGATATGTGAGTTACTACGTTTTCAAACCTCTCTCACAAGTTTAGTTCTTTGTGTTTCTCAAGAAGTCTAAAGGAGTTGATATATCATGGTTTTATAGGTTCTTACCATGATATAAGTCCTATTTTAAGTCTATACTAGATTTTGACCTTCGCTTAGAAAGCGCGGGTTTGTTTTTGATTTATTTTTAATAGTTACAAAATTTTGATTTTTTGTCGTCTATGAAATTTGGGTTTTATATCATATAGTTGTGTTTTTTATTTATTTAAAATTAAAAAGATCGAAAGTTTACTGATAGAAAGAGATGATTCAATATTTGGAGAATCAGCTACGATCCACGAAAGATTGACCAGGCATTTTACTTGCCTGTCGTGATGAATATCCTTAATAGTTATGAATATTCCAGCCATGTTTTAATAGTTATGAAATTTGGGTTTTACATCATATAGTCGTATTTTATGTTTATAGGTTTGTTAATTATCTTGTTTTTCCAAATCTTAACGATTTATAGGCTGCCCGTGGGAGGAGTTCTCCTTGTAAATTATAATAATAGGTTTTAAATCTTTAATAATAAGCAATCTGAGAAAAAAACGAAAACATTGAAAGAAGCAAAAAAATATTATTTTAGAAAACCAAAACAACAAACTAAAATAATATCAGACATCCGTCTATGTATTATTGATCATCTTCTAACAAACCCCGAGAAAAGTAGGTCTCTTTGTATGACAAATAGAGAACATTGTTGAACGTTTTGATTTCTTCATAATATGTCGGCTTTTTACAGTATTCAGCAAGACACGCAAATAAAATGTCTCGTCAATCTTTCGTGGAGCGTTGTTTATTCTCCCAATATTGTTTCATCACTAAACTTTTGATCTTTTTGTTCCAAATAAACCTAGTAGAAATTTCAGCTGAAGTTAGTATCCAACCAACAGAACTGACCTTGTTTAATTCGAACTAGCTGTAGAACATTGTATTTTCAGTTAGAACGTGGGTGGTATCCTCTAAGAGAGAGCTGCATATTGTTGTCATTTTTTCTGTATTTTTAGGTTTGATGAATATCATGGTTAATTGATGCTATATTAATAATAAGTAGGTGGTACAGCCAATTTAGGTTACTCAAAAATAGGTAAGAATATAATTTTGTGAGTATATTGTAATTAGATTATATGTTTTTAATTTATACGAATTAATGCTAATCCAATTTAAGTCGGTGACAAAACTTCTGTAGCTATAAAGAAATTAATACTAATTGTGCTATTAAATAAAACTTGTAGATAAAGAAATATAAATATTTCAGAATTCGTATCTAAAATAAATTGGTAACTAAAATATTTGGCTAATACATTAAAATAGCCTTGGTAAACATATTTGATGACGATAAAGGCAATAACATCGTATAGTTTAAAATTTGATTTTTATGAAAAAATATGTGACTTTGTGGAATAAGAAATATTATGCGATTATCTATACAATTATAATAATTTTTTAATTAGTAAGAGTTGATGTTAATCCAATTAAATTAGGTTAGCAAAAAAATCTTTTAAATCATTATATTAGTAGTTTATTTTCCCAATATTGAAACATCTCTTAATTTCAATAAGTATATTAGTATTAAAAATCTAAATCGCCATCAATATCAATGTAGATGTTATTAAATATTTCAATCATGCCACAAAAAAATGTATAGATATTTTCAAAGAGAACAATCATTATTTTCACATAGATAATTTATGATGGGGTCAAAATCGGTTACGACGGAATCAACAACCAAAACTTTCCGAAAATTTAAGATTAGGTTTGTAAAAATACAAAAAAGCGCCGAGAATAATTCTAGGGACTTTCTGAACAAAGTAATTCCGTAAACTTGACAATTGTCATCTTGGAAATCATTGAAAATGCGAATAAAACAATCCACGATTT